CGAATACTTAGCATGAAACTTTAAATCCCAGGTTAGTTTTGCACAAACACAGTCAAATGAGAATATTTTCATGAGCACTAATGACTCAAAAACATTTCTTGATACTCACAAATAACATATACCCTGAAACAAGCCTAAATACTCAGCTGAATGGCCTGGCTGGAAAAACAAGGAACCTATTTCCCATCTGCACATCTGGAACAGCATGGAGTATTAAACACATCCTGTATATTTTTGTGCCCAGTCTAAACAGCATAGTCTGAAAGGAATAGGCTTTAACAGCAGCTGAGAGCACTATCAGAAATTTCTCTCACAACCCCTGCATACATCAAGAATGTTCCACACTGCAGGGGCACAGCCAACCATCCATAAGTGCACCCATACTTGTGGTGCAGCTGACACATCGGTAAAAGGGAAAGATCTGATGTGGAGGAAATGTAGCAGGCACCTCTGCCTGCTTGTTTTGGCAGAGACACTTGCAGAGAAATAGCCTGCTACTTCAGGGACACAGGAAAATGATCAGCATCAGATCTCTCTGCATGGCAAAATGAAGTAGCAAACTCCCACACTGAACCCTTACTCTCAGAAGAACTGAAGAGCTCACCAGCAAAAAGGTAACAGGATGACAGCACAATAAATACTCTTCTCATCACCTGCACTGTTTATTCTGTAGTAACCAACTCTTACATTCAGAACCAGCTGGAACTAAGTGACTGTTTTGGTATAGACTCAACCAGAATCCATGTAGGAAGCACCAACACATTGCAAGAACAAAAACAGAAAACAAAAGCATAGGGTATGTATCTGTTACTGCATAGAGTTTCACAAATTCACTCAAAGCCTTGCCTATGAAAATTAGGATGGTGCTAAATATTAGCTAGGTGCTTCATTTGTGAATCTGCTGACACAGTCCTGGCATCACAGAATCTTATGTTTCCTCTTGCACTGGAAAGTGGTACTCCTGGGCTGATTGCATAAAACACAACGCAAAAGACATCATATGCCATGTACCCCCCCAGCTGATAGAAACATGGTGAGATCTAACCAGTGAAGTTTTAAAGAAAGCTGTGACAAGTACAGGGATGTAATGCACATGTGAAACTATCTTCAGTCTTTGTGAGAAATAAGCAAAGCTGCCAAGTGGATTTGGTCCCCTCAGGCTTATGTCCAGAAGAGAAATGAAGTTAGCAGAAATTCAGTCTGCTTTAATGGCAGGAAAACGGCAGACTATTGACCCTGTGGCATTAAATGAACTACCAGGGGTAACAACCACTGTCTTCACATTCTTTCAGAGTTCTGAAAATTAGAAAAAAAAAAAAAACTTCACTGCAGTTTTTCCCTTTTCCCCACACAGTTACCACCTAAAAGGCCTCAGCTGCTATTTTGTATCTTTATGCTTGATTGCACAGGTATTACACAGCAGAATTGTGGTGGGTTGGCCCTGGCTGGACACCAGGTGCTGACCAAGCTCCTCTATCACTCCCCTTCTCAGCAGGACAGATAAATAAGAGAAAATAAAATGGACAAAATCCTCATGGATCAAGATAAAGGCAGTTTGATTAAAAAAAGGTTGTGCATGGAAGCAACTGAAGACACAAGAACACAAGATGTATCCTCTACTTCCCATCAGCAGGTGATGTCCAGCTATTTCCCAGGAAGCAGGGCTTCAGTGTGTGTACCAGCTGCTTTGGAAGACAAACATCATTAATAACAAATACCTGGCTCTCTCCACCCCACACCCTTCCTTCTCCAGCCTTCTCTTCAATGTTGTATCTGAGCAGGTATCTTACACTACAGAATATCCTCTGGTCAGTGGGTCACTGTCCTGGCTGTGTCCCCTCCCAAGCTCTTGCTCACCTCACCTGGCTAGGGGGAATGTTGGAGAGACAGCCTTGATGCTGTGGAGGGCTACTCAGCAGCAGCCAAAACACTGGAGTGTTACCGACACCCTCCTAGCTACCAATGCAAAGCACAGCACTGTGAGAGATGCTATGGGAAAATTATCCACCTCAGCCAGGCACAACAGAAGGGTTTAATTCAGCAAGGTAATAAGAGTATCTTTTTTTAAGTCTTTTCAGCAATTACTTGTTTCTCAATCTCTGCCTTTAATGCCTTGGCAAGTATTTTCATTGCAACATTTTTGTTTTGTTCTCAGAGTCTTTCCTACATGTCAACATCCATATGAGTAATTTTCCTTCGCAGGTCCCAGCTTTGTGCAGGATCCTTTGTTCTTCCAAGTAGATCAGAGGGCATCTGAAGGAAGAGAGCTAGCTTCTTAAAAGTCTGGATTCACCTGAAATTGAAGTGGTCCTCCTCAGGTAAAACTCAATGTAGTTTGGGTATTATTGAAGTACATCCAGTTTAAATTCAGTTACTTAAACACAAACTTAAAAAAAGCAATCTGATCATAGCAGATGTATACAAATCTGATAACCATGAATACAGCAAATAAATTAATACTTAAAAGAAGGGGCCATTTAGAAAATAAAAGAAAAAAAAAATCACAGAAACAGTGTTTCCAAAAGCAACACATAAAAAATAACTGTGAGACTTTAAAATCTCTAGTTATGCTACTCAGTAAAATGTAATAAAGAACTATGATTTTTTTTTAGCAGCATCTTAATTAGTAATCATTAGCTACAGTGTTCAGTGCATATAGAGCATTCTTTATCTGCCACTAATTAGAAAGGAAAATCTGAAGAATGACTTGGAAAATCATCCCATAGGTATTTGCATACAATGAGAGTAAGAATTGAGTATGTTTACAAAATACAGGGAATTTGTTTATCTAATAGAAACAGTTGATAGCATTGTGAAGTTTGCTAAAAGGCAACAGACAAGCTGCTGTTCCAAATTTAGGGGCAGTAGGAAAAAGGACAAGTTCCACTGAGTGTGGAACAGTACATCATATAGTCTCAGACCCCCTGGAGAATATGCAACAAGGGGGAGACTATTACCTGAATTTTAAGAGTTCTTCTCTTGTGATGAAAAAAAAAAAAAGAGAATTTTCAAGTTGTGGAAACCAACAGAGCTTTTGGGGGAAGAGTGTGATTTCAGGCCTGTAGGTACCTAGATGTGTAGTAGTACCAAATAAATGGGTTAACTAGTCTGCTGTATGCAGAAGTAGTTTACCAGGGAGGTGTTACATGCAGTACACAGAAGTAGGAAAAAAAACAGAATTGAAATTTAGAGGCAAACTTAGATTGTTACATAGAATCTAAAAATCCCTTCCACTGCAAGTATACTCCAAAACACTGAGAGCAGAAGAGGCTCAGAGCATGACTCAAGAAATAGTATAAAACATTATTCTTTAGGACCTGGTAAAATTTCTGAAATACAGACTTTATCAGAAGAACATGTATGAATTAAAACTATTTCTATTAGAAAGTTAAATTCAAACGAAAGGCCAGTTTTGAAACAAAACGTATTTTTATTGGTTGCCTGATAATCCCCAGAGACCTCAGAAAGATGTATTTTCCCTCACAAGCTTGCAAACACACCTTTCATGCCCTTGGCAAAGTATTTCTCAATCTTTCTAAACCTTGCTAGACAGGCTCATGGAATCACAGATAAGTTGGAAAGGATTTGCAAGGATGGGTCTAATGAATGACCTATATGGGGATCAAGCCCACATTAAAACCTTGGCATTACTAGCATCATGCTCTAACAAACTGAGCTAAACTCAGTCTTGCTGAAAAAAAAATGTAACATTATGCTCATGTATGACCCTACATTTATTTTTTCTTAAATACACACTCTCCTTTACTAGCTTCCCTTGTTTTACCCTTCAATCATGTTTTTCCTCAGACAATTATGCTCCTGCCCAGTAAAAAGATTTATCATTGTCTTCCATTATGGTAAGGCCTCAGTGAAGCCTACAAGTATGTGCATACACATAAAATCAGAATTATGTGGCTTGCTCATCCTCCTACTCCAGTTTCCCCACTCCAGTCTGAAGCATCACCCTTTTGGACTACTAGCCCTTTCCACACATCAAGATCTATCACCCCACACCTGTTTAATTATAGCTTAGTTAAGGCTGTGGAATTACTTGACTGCTTTTAAAGCAAAAAGAGAATCACAGAATTGTTAGGGTTGGAAAGGACCTTTGGAGATCATTGAGTCCCACCCCCCCTGCTGAGGCAAGGGACACCTGGAGCAGGTGACACAGGAATGTGTCCAGGTGGGTTTTTCATCTCCAGAGACGGGGAAACCCCATGACCTCCCTGGGTAGCCTGTTCCAGTGCTCTGCCACTCTCAAGGTAAAGTTCTTCATGTCAAGGTGGAACTTCTTGTTTTAGTTGATGGCCATTACTCCTCGTCCTGTCGCTGGGCACCATCAGAAAGGGTCTGTCCCCATCCTCTGACACCCGCCTTTGAGGTATTGACATGCACTGATGAGATCCCCTCCCCGTTTTCTCCTCTGCACACTAAGCAGGCCCGGCTCCTGCAGTCTCTCCTCAAGAGAGATGCTCAGGACCTCTCACCATCCCCGTGGCCTCCAGCGGACCCTCTCCAGTAGCTCCTTGCCTTCCTTGTCCCGAGGAGCCCGGAGCTGGCCAGGGCAGCGCAGCCGCGGCCTCACAGGGCCGAGCGGAGGGGCCGGTCACCCTTCGCCCTGCGGCCGCGCCGCTCCCGACACCCCCAGCACACGGGCACTGCCGGCTTACGGTCGGCCTGGGATTCACACACACGTTGATGCTTCTCCTCATTCCTTTTCTCCAGTAACTACGCACGGCTTTTGCAGCTGCATCATGCAAACTTTTAGGCTATAGGGAACCCTTTTCCATGAAGATCTCAATGTGCTCCGCAGCAGAGGGGCTGCAGAGGAGCACTCGAGCACAGCCGCGCTCCGGGCTGGAGCCCCCCGGGCTGCCCCTCGGCTGGGTCGGCCGAGCGCTGCCCAGCTGCCGGGGGCACGGGCCGGGAAGGAGCACGGGAAAAGGAAAAGGAAAAGGCGCCCGTTTCCCGTCCTCGCCGGCGCTTCCGGGTCGCGCGCGGGTTCCGCTGGAGGCGGCGGGGCGGGAGCTGCGGCGTTCCCGTCCTCTCCTCCTCCTCCTCCTCCTCCTCCTCCAGCTCCTCCGCTCGTCTCGTCCTCGTCCTGGTGCCGCTCGTGACCGCCGCGGGCTGTCCCGGGTGAGCGGGGCCGGGCCGGGAAGGGGAGGCGGCGGGGGCCGGGGCCGTGTGCCGGCGCCGCTCCGGCTGCAGGTCTGTTCCTCTGCCAGTACAGGTTTAGCACCCCTCCCTCCCCACCATCGCCAAACAAAACCAAAAAAAAGGTGTCCTTTGCAGAAAATTAGCACCGATTCTGCTGCTCTCCGTAGATCTCCGCTCTTGAGAGCATCCTCGTGTTCCCAGCCTAAAGTTGCTGGGATTTTATAAAACCGGCCTAAAGTCTGTTCTTGCTGGCCTGTTTTGCCTTCTCGGGGATGTGTGTTAGCTCTTCTGGGTGTGTGCGTTTAGTGTTTCCTCGGCAAAGGTGAGTTTGACTTGTCATGGCTCAGCTGTCCAGGGAGATGGAGCGGCACAGGCAACACAATGTGATGATCACTTTCGTCCTTCAGTGGGACAAACATGGTATCCTGTTAAGTGCTTTAATTCATATTTGTTTTGAAACAGCCACTACTTTTGGGTCAGCTAAAAGTAGTGTGGTCTGTCACACCGTTGGCCCTAGGCTTCTGGCAACTGTGTTGTGTTCTGGCTAATGCCGAGCACACCCAGACGTGGGAAAAGAAGAGTAACACATCCCAAACTGGGTAAAGAGCCTCTGGACTCTGTTAAGCAGAAATTCATGGAAAATAAGTTTCACTTAAATGCAGGAGATGCTTGTATACTTCTAGCAGCCAAGTTTGTTTCCTGGATATTCATCTTAAAAGTTGATACAATTGCACTCAAAGCCTTTTGAATTTCTGTATTTTTTTCCTGTGAATTGTAAACATTTCAAAAATCTCTAATGCTATTTTTTTTTCTTTTTGCAGATTAATAAACTTACTGAAGCATTGTTAAGGAGCTAGAATGGGAGTGAAAAATTAATCCCAATTAGGTATTTTGATTATAGGAACATGGGATTACTCTGGGTCTTGTTTTTGAAGTTGTAGGCATTCAGCTGGTCCTAAGAAACAGGAATTAATCTTGGTATTTAAGTATTTCCTCTTTTCTCATGGTGACAACAAAAATATTGAAGTTCAAAATGGCTTGCTCTCATCTTGTTTTAGCTTTTTCCTATTAATTGCTTTAAATTAATCTGTGAATTTTAATAAATATTTTGATTGCAATCTATCATTTGGATTCTGTAGCTTTTATCTTGATTGTCCAGTCTGAACTAGGACTGCAGGAGTGTGGTATGCTAATGCAAGTCATTGGTATAGAAGATGTATGTCCTCCATAATCTAAGAGTTTTACAACTACTTATGTGGTGCTTATTTTTAAAACTACAACATTCTCTCCAGGTTTAAGTTTGTTTTATCATACAAGTTCTTCACTGCCATAATGAGGCTAGTAATTCTTGAAGATTATGATCAGGCTAGTGAATGGGCAGCCAAGTACATCTGTAATCGTATTATCCAGTTCAAGCCAAGTCAAGGAAGATACTTCACCCTTGGTCTACCAACAGGCAAGTTTTATTCAGTCTTTGTAAATAACTAAGCCTAGAACAATGTTTGCATCACTGGTAGCAGATACAGTATTTAAAAGAACATAAGTATTTTTGGTAATATTATTTTTTTTATATATGGATTTAATTTCTGTGAAAAGTTGTGATAGTTTGAGAAACTGATAAATACTAAATGAGAATTAGCAGATTGCTTGTATGTTGAAAAGCACTGTAGCAAAATTTGACTGTGAAAACATTTAAATACACTGAAAATGTGCAGATACACTGAACAGTAGAAAAATTTTGTTTAACAGGGAGTACACCTTTGGGATGCTACAAAAAACTGATAGAATATCATAAAAATGGAGATCTCTCTTTCAAATACGTAAAGACTTTCAACATGGATGAGTATGTAGGTAAGATGTGCTATTACTTGAGAACATACTGTACTGTTATTATTTTTTTTCCTTACAAAAACTATTAAATACTTTGTCAAAGTACCAGGTTAGTCTAATATGTTGGACTGGTATCCCAGCATTGCTCTCTATTCCTTTATCTACAAAAATGCAGAAACAAACACCGGGCTAAGTACAGTGCTTCACAGTACTTCTGTAGAAATAATGTTGTCATGTAATACTGGGACTGCATTCCTATTGAAGACTTTACACTCTGGGATAAGATGTATGTGGAGGGAATGTAACCCAGTTACTTTGTACGTGCCAACAGGAAACCTTTCTTCTCAATGTAGTTCCAAATTTTGCTTTATTTGACTCAGGTTTGCCTTGCATGTCCTACATCTGTTACATACAGACTAGAATTAAGGCTGTTTGGTTAAATCTTGTCATATAGTAATTTCACTATAAATCATTTCAGGGCTTCCCAGAAATCATCCAGAGAGCTATCACTCCTATATGTGGAATAACTTTTTTAAGCATATTGACATAGATCCGAATAATGCTCATATCCTTGATGGGAATGCACCAGACTTACAAGCGGAATGTGATGCATTTGAAAAGAAAATTGAAGAAGCAGGGGGGATTGATCTATTTGTTGGAGGTATGAGGAAATGCTCTATGGTCAGTTACAATTCAAGCACATACACCAATTCCTTAATCACTATTTTTATGACTTGACTAAAACCCAGATTTTTCAATTATTGTGTAAGGAAGTTCTGTGTCTAACAAAGAATCAGTATAAATTCCAAAAACAGAATGGTTGGTGTCCAAGTTTCTAATGACTTAAGTAAGTTTTTGTTGAAAATGGGAAATCAAAAGGAAAGGTTGAGCCCTTTTTTATTCATTTACAATGTCTGAGGATATGTGTTGACTCTCAGGTCTGGAATGATCTATTTTTTTTAACTTTGAAAAGGCATTGGTCCAGATGGCCACATTGCATTCAATGAACCCGGATCAAGTTTGTCTTCAAGAACAAGATTAAAGACTTTAGCAATGGACACCATTTTGGCAAATGCTAAATACTTTGATGGAGACTTATCTAAAGTACCAACTATGGCGCTAACAGTTGGTGTGGGTACAGTGATGGATGCTAGAGAAGTAAGAACTCATTTAGTTCTAGTTGCATGTGTGTTTTCAAGCTAAATTGGTATTGATGCTGGGATTGAAAGTAAAGAGATGTTTGTTTTGCAGGTGATGATCCTTATAACAGGTGCACATAAAGCTTTTGCATTGTACAAAGCAATTGAAGAAGGAGTCAATCATATGTGGACAGTTTCTGCTTTCCAACAACACCCTCGCACTATCTTTGTGTGTGATGAAGATGCTACTTTAGAACTAAGAGTTAAAACTGTGAAGTACTTTAAAGGTGAGCACTGAATCAGAGGTCACATGTTTACACAAAACCGACAGCTTTGAAATTATATTGATTTAAATCTGAGCCTTCCAACACTTTGCAGTCACTAATTATAATGTTATATATTCAAAATATAAATATTAACTTATTTCTTGTGTTTGGAAAATTGCCAGGAGGCATAACTTGTGCTACCTACATTCCAGACAAATCTACTTGGGAAGAGTATTTCCTTTGCTTTCAGTTTGAAACAATAGTTTAGTTAGTAATCTTTAAGTTTAAACAGCAGTCTGGCGTTCAAGAATACAGGTCGTAAGTATAGTGGAAAGATTAGTTTTAAAAAATCTTAATACATTTATTAATCCCGATACATTTCTATGCTGCTTTTGCTATGTGCTGTAATGTGATGTCTAGTAAACTGTGATACAGACTTTGAAGCCACCTGAGAACATTTTTCATGTGCAATTAGCATAACAATCTGTACTGCTTTTGAACACATCGCACCCTTTTACTGTGTGTGTTTTTCATATTTGAAGTAGGTATATTGGGGCAAACTTAAAGTAAGTCAGGATATTTCACAGTAATGGAGACTTCCTAGACTGAATTCTGTTTCACTGAGACAGCAGAAGCTGAGAAAAGTAGTTTTCTCCTGACTCTACTAGCACAGCACATGCAATTGTGTGACTCAGCTGTTCTCACTAGCATGAGTACCTGTAGTAGCTGAAGTATCAAGAGATCAAGATTGTCATTTATTAAATTCTTTTATAGAGCATTATATCACCAGTGCTCATATATGTATTGGATTGCAATTCAGACATTTCTGTGATATTTCTCCTGATACCTCTTGTGGCCAGCTTGCTACTTTTGAATTTTTCAGTATGCTGTTCTCTCCTATGTATTTGTGGGGTGGGAGGGAGGGTTAGTCTTTTCTTGTATCACACTGCTAGATAGCATTTACTGTTGTTTTCAAAGATAAACTTCTCTAACTGCCTAGATATGTTTTAAACATTATCCTGTATTTTACATAAGCAGAGGCTTTGCTTGGGAAACACAAACCTAATTTAGAATCATTAAATATAAATGACACTGAACATTGCTTTAAAAAAATATCAAGGGCTACAATTTATGAATGTATGCTATTGTGTCACTGTATTTACCCTGTAATACATAGCAATAGAACTTTTAAAAAGATGGTTTACTTTAAACTTAGTTAATTTTACCTACTCTCAAATCAGTGAGATTTTTTTCCCCTTGTAAGAAGGAAGAGAAGTCAGTGTGGGTCAAATTCAAATTATATCTGAATCTTTATCTTCAGGTTAGACATCTTAGGGAAGATAGGTAGTTCTTAATATTGCTATTTATGGTGGTGATTTATGAAGATTTTTCACCACTTAAAACTTTCAATATGAAACTGTTTTTTTTGTTTTATAATCAAGTACCACACTGGCTGGTAAATAGATTAACCTATTCCATTTTTTCTAACTTTCTATAATAACCTGTAATAGGCTAGAATTATCAAGTGTGCCTATGGTCTTACTTGCAACTTTCTTGAAGAATGAAACAGAAAATTAATTTTGAATTTACTGATTTATCTGCAGATAAGTTAGTTCAGGATAGTTTTTTTCCGTACTTACACATGCTTCTCTTAAACGTGTGTGCAGAAATCTGTTTATTCAAAGCATACTTGAATATCCAGTGGGACTTTCCTTTGAAGTAATTGTTTTGGCATCTAGCAAGTCTGGTGCATTCCTTTAAAAAAATCTTCTGTTTCTCACTGTTTTTCCTGTAACACTTTTGCTAACAGGATTTAAATATTCTTCATTTAGTATGACAGAAGCTATACTTTGTAACCATTTTTCATGCATCTAGGAAGTGGGTAATTATTTCATTTCCCCTTTTTAGAAGAGGAAAATATTTGTATGAAGTTAAATGTTTTAAAGCTCAGAACACGTTTCTAGTTTGCATAGTGTATGCAGCTGTTACTCTTTCTGGACAAATTACTTATGTCAAAGGTATATTTAAGTTTTTGTCACTGTTAAAAAAAAATTACGCTTGATCTAACATCTGTATTTTTTATTAAATAATCACATAGTGATTAGTAATAGATGCTGCATAAGATGCCTTTTTTCATGGTTACCTACAGAAATGACCTTAGATTGTATAGTTAACTCAAATTTTATGTTGCTGCAGTGATACCAAGGTTGCCACCAGCTGCATCATGTAGCAAAGGTATTTGAATATTCTTTGCCATAGATAAAAAATACACAGTACTGTGAGATTTCTTTCATGGTTTTTAAGAAAATTACTTTGAGTGTTTAGTGCATATTATAATTTTAGAAGTTAAATCTTTAGTTCAATACTAGAATGGACTTTTACTTTGCATATTGTGAACATTGATCATTACTGTTATTAGTCCTCAAGGTGAAATGAGGTTAAAAACCTGCCAGTGATCCAGTGTCTTACATACCTAGATGTAGGTAACATTTTTACTAAGTTATAGTAAAGTTAAGAAGGAAGCATCTTTTTTATTAACTGCACTTCTGCATTTGTCAGAATTAAAGTAGTTGAGGAGGAAAAAAAAATAGCCCCCCTAATCATAGCTATGGAGGACTCATATAGAAAGAAGGAAAAACCTCAGCTACAACAGAAAACAGTTGAACTGCTGAAGTGGAGTCTGCACTAAAAGTCTGGATAATTTAATTTGACTTTGCCTGTCTAGGACCACAAGTATATGATAATTACAAAGACAGTATCACCACAGTGCTAGATCATTGCAAAATAACTCAAGCTGTCAAAGTCTCATTGTTTGTATATCTGATTTTTATGGCAAATTGTGGTGTGAGGGAATTACATTGCTGTTACACAGTTTTCCATACATAGAAGATATACTCAGTTCATTTGGAAGTATTCCAGATGTGTTTTTTGGGTCTGTTACCAAGGAACTGTCTGGTCCTTGCTCAGCTGATACTGAGTATGTCATTAGTATGCAAGTGATACAGGAATATATCTGCTGTCTCTGAACTACTTTAAATAGCCATTGTTGCTCTCTTCAATGAACTATTTAAAATGTATACTTTGAAGCAAATTCCAAATAAAAATGTGGATAGAAGAACATGTTAACAAAGTATAACTAATGTAAAGCTGGCATTGTTGCTTTCCCCCCAAGGTTTAATGCATGTGCACAATAAGCTTGTGGACCCACTGTACAGTATGAAAGAAAACTGAAAGAAGATGAAGAGGAACTCCATGTGGGTCAGCAGCAACAGTTTTAGGTAGCAGATGAGTTCACTGCTATGCAATATGCTGAAAACTGTTTAAAATGGGAAATCCTAGGTACTGTATTTTTAAAAAGGTCCAATATCTGTACATTCACATTCCATCTGTTTGCTGTGTTGTGCATTTTGCTTTAACATTTGGAGCTCTGCTGTTGGCTGACATCACTGAATGGCAAAGAACAAACTTGGGAGCGACTGCACGTTATGTAGAGAGGGGAAAAGCAGAGCACTTACTCTAGCACAACAATGTATTGCATCTGCCTCATGTTAGAGATGATGACACTTCATTTCCCAGAATTCTTAATTTTTGGCTTGGTTAGTGTAATTACATTTTGCATTTGTGTCTCTAGGCAGAATGGTTTTGGCCTTTGCTAATACTATGGACTTGTAATAGCTGTACAATTTCTACTATGAAATGTTCTGTTTACATATATCTTACGTACACTGAGCTTTTGAACTTGGTTGCCTTAAATTTGTCTTAAACAGTTTTTGGGCATCTCAAGTCCTGCTGTATATTTCGGGCAAATGAAGATACAAAAACAGTGCCTAAAAATGCACCAAATTCTTCAAAGTTACAACTTGCTCCATGGATAAAAATATTAAACTTCTACAATAGCACTTTCTCCTCTCATGTACTTCAAATTACTTTAGGATTTTTATATTTTTGGTAATCAAGCTTTATACATAAGGAAGAAATCTCAGTGTTCCTTCCTGATGTTACAATTAAATGCCTGCAAAGGGCTTAATTTACAGGACTATAATGTCTACAAATGATAATTTAAAGCTAACTGTTAATCACATTTTCATTGTATCATTATAAACATTGTTACAAGGAATGTTCTCTCCTACTTTGAATATAAGTAAAACCTAAATATAAATCTCTTAGTTTCAAAATTGTTTCATTTGTAATATAAATTGTCATGAGCAAATACTTCAGAGTTTCAGGGAATGATTAGGCACCAAAAGAGAAAGATAAGAGTTTACTGATGAAGACTTTTTTTGGGAAAGCCCCTGTTGAAAATACTCACTGCAAGAAAGTACAGCTAAGCAGAACTTCAACAATTTAACTTTTCACCTAAATGACAGGAATGAAGTCCTTATTACAAAATCACTTTATCTCCCCAGGGATGTGGCAGGCTCACCTTTCATCTAGGTGACTTTCCTAAACTCATCTAGGCTCACCTTTCTCATAAATGCTTTTGCAGGATACTTTCAAATCTGGACTGTTCTCTGATTCTGTGAAATTACAAAAGTATGGAAGAATCTGTCTGTAGCAGTGTAGGAAGCCAGGCCTAGTTTCAATTCTCAACAGTACAGTGAACATCCACACATTTAAAACAGGCTTTCAGCTTTAAGGCTCAGTTTATGCATGTGTATTTTTGAAGCAAAATGCAACACTGTAGGGAAAAAAGTTGAAAAGACTGCCTTTCAGAAGAATGCTGTTACAGGTAATGTATGACTCAAAATGCAGTGTTATGTTTGCCATTAGCCTTTACAGCTAAGCAGGTTTATATGCAATTGTATTACAAATAGCATGAAACTAAATGTAGTAATGAATTTAGGTTAGTATTAAAGGAATTGAATCAGGTTTCATCTTGATGATGATCATACTTCACGGGGCAAAATGGAGAATTCTTTTAAAACAGTATTCTTGTTCTTTATTCCAGCACACCTTTCAGTCATGTACCTTGCTTGGCACCCTTACTCACTAAAGCCCTTTGTGTTCTCAAGATTTGTGAGATCACAGAATTAATATCTTTCTCCCTTTTTAACTCCCTGACCTTCTGTGAAACACAGGCCAGTTTAAATACTGGTACAGCAGAACCTGTCTGTCCTTGAGTGGGTCTGGGACTGTTACTGTCACTGTCTCTTAATGCAGTTTTGTGTGGTTCTCCAGCTTGTTTCTCTTGTTACACTACTTTTTTTTTAAATTTTGAGTGCTATATTATGTTATTTTTTTAAGTACTACCATAGTGTTTCCATTATTTCATTTCTTAAGATACTTCCAATCATTTTCTGAAATATCATTGCTTCAGGAGAGTACCTTCCAAACTTGTCAACTACTATGAGTAAGTCAACCCTTTACGTTGCATAAAATTTTACCTGTTACTCTGCAGTAATGGCAAAGCAAATATTTTCAAGTTCAGGAGGTCTTAAAAGTAAATTCTAAATTAGCCTAGCACATCAAGGTTACCATTTTATTCTTCTCATTTTAATCCATTTCCAAAGGAAAGGGGGAAACAAAAAAGTAACTCGATAGAATCAGGTACTTTGTTTCAAAAACTAATACTTCATGTACTTTACAGGTTCATTTTAAGTTCTTGTTCTCAAAATTGATACATGTACAAGTTCTCTCAGAATTAAGACTACAGTTTGTAATTTTTTTCTGCCTCAGGTAACTACAATAAAGCTAAAACAGATTCTCAAGGCAGCTCTATCCATCTATGTAATTCATTTAATTAGATAATGTACACTTGATGTGTCTGTCACTCACCAAGAATATGATTTACTGTTTGGATAACATCTAGCTCACCTTTAGCTTCTGCGTTATTCCTCAGTGCAGAACCAGTGCTGGTGGGTCTAGTTCAAGGAGTGGGGAGGACCTCGTTTTAGCTCCTTTGCTCCTAGCATGTATCCCTGCAGCTGTAGTTCCTTAAATGCTAGCTTTTACAGGGGAGAATAATAAATGTGTTAGAGAGCCTTTATCCACAGCATCCTTCCTTTCTTCAGGATTAGTAGCAGCAGCTTAGGTGCCTTTATTAAAGGTACAGGTGCCTTGTTCACATCCAGATCTTTGTTTTTTCAGTGAACCTGAAACAGCCTCAAATAAAAAAAAATACACAACCGAACAGAAAAAAACCCCAACAAACCATTAAAGTATCAGAATTCCCTGTCCCCTTTTTCTGTACTCTGAAACTAACACAGGTTGAAAGGGAATGTGTTCTGTTCAATTTCATCCCTCCAAAAATTTTCCCAATTCCTCATTGTATGCAGGCTGGAATAAAACTATCTTATGATTAAAGTGTAGGTACAAGCCTAAATTTAAGGGTCAACTTTCCTGGTGATTGAGTACTTCAGTAGATATGACTAGCAATTTGTTCTCTAATAAATATTTAATAACAATAAATTAAGATCTGTGAAGAGCAAAACTAGTCCCTGAAGCTCAAAAATGCAGCTCAAAAGCTTTTAGAGGTTTGTAAACAGCTGTAAATAGAGTACATAGTAGGGTCATTAACTTATGTTTATAATTGCTTTGTGTATACTTCCAAAAGTAACATGTCATGTAATGCATGGTACACTGCAGCATTTCACTGGGGATGCACTGACAAACTAGTATGTAAACAATATAAATAAAACTTCACCAGCTACACCAAGATATGCTGTAACCAAACCTTCATGTTAAATTTTTTTTTTAAGGCTTGAATTGGTCTTACTAGTGGAACAATTAGAGATCCTGTGTTTTCATATATGAAAACTTACCATTGCCCTGGAGATGAGCACAGCTAGGCTGAATTAATGGTAAACTTACACACGTCAACTGCTTTAAAATAAACAGCATGGTAAATTTTAAAGTTTCGATTTTCTCATCTGATTTGGTTTCCCAGAATCACGATTTCCTGACAACAGCAACTTTAGAGAAAGTGAAACAGGAAACAGCTTGATCCTTTTGTGTCAACAGTTCAAACTTTAAAAAAAAAAAAAAAAAAAAAAACCACCGATACAACATTGTTTGTCTATATTGGACAAAAATAGCTTTAAATTATTTTTATAACCTTTTTGCCTTATTGTTCCTTTCTATATATAGAGACTTGCAATACAAGAACCCCCAAAATTATGTTAAAAGTGTTAAAAGTATGAAAACAGTGGAATAAAGTGAAAAAAATATATCATGTGAACTTTTAGATGCAGTCAAATAACTTTAATTTCATAATAATCTACAAATATATGTACATTTTTAAATCAATTCATCTTGCCATGTATATTAAATTCATGCTATTTACATTCAAGTATGTTGCCTCTCACGGTGATAAATCCCTTATTAGCTCACTTTGCTACTGTCTGCAAAAAGCTGACATGATCTGGAAGATCAGATGTCACTGATCTCTATTTGTCAGTTTCTCTCTTTAGAACACGTATAAAGGCATCTCTTGGAACCTCAACATTGCCGATTTTTCTCATTAATCTCTTGCCTTCTGCTTGCTTTCTTAAAAGCTTCATTCTTCTTGTAATGTCGCCACCATACTGTGGGGAAAAAGAAATTACTAAGCCTGAACTACAATTGCAGCTACAATATATTCCAGCCACACAAAACTCATGGGTTTAAAATAGTCAGAAAGGCTGGTTATATTTTGACAAAAAGATTACTTTATACTCTCAATAGTTTGGCCTAAAGGCCACTAGTTAGAAAGAATAAGGAAGCAAATAAGCACATTAATTTGGACAACTATATTGTATTGTATTACTGCAAACCTAAGTAGAAGTCTAATCACAATCAAGTCTCAAAAGAAGCACATTTATATTTACTTCTGTTGCCTAGAAACCAATTTAGGAAACAAGAAATTACCTATATGCCTGTGTGTACACACACAAACACACATATTTACTGTGTGCCTACAACTATTAGGAAATAGTTTTTTTAATTATTTCAACTATTAGAAAATGATGAGGAGATGAAACAGACATTCAAAGTATGTGACTGAAAAAGCCATTACTTTATCTGATCCACTCTTCAAGCTGCAGCAAGAGGTTACGAGATTTGGATTTTAAAATAAAAGCTTAAAAGTATGTTAGAATTCCACAGACACTTAGGAGCACAAGCAGACTTATGTTTTTGCTGGGTTTCTAGGAAGAGAGGGGCATATCATCTTAGCAGGACTCTAAGGTTTACAAATGTCAGAAACATGAAGAAAAGAGAAAAAAATAACTTACACATTTTGCCACAACATTTTTTCTGTAAGGTTTCAGCCTGCAAAATAAAATAACACATACACCTGAATATATTAGAACACCAGCATGTGAAGCTAAGTACTTGAGTTGTTAAAATGTTACTTGTTTTTGTAGTAGTTTTGTAAGAGGCTTTAGCATCATAACATTTTCAAGTCTTGTATACAAAAGATGAAGCTTTAAACAGAAGATGTAATTCACAGTCTTCGATTCTAGAAACACCACTTAGGGCATATAATATGTACATATAAAGAAATCACAATCTTGGCTTTTTATCTGGAATTTCTGCTATGACTCACAGGAAGTGTTACATCCATGTGTATATACATGTATAAACAAATTCTTACATCACCTCTGCCTGAATTCTGACCTTTAATTTTTTTTACTGCTATTTAAATCCTATTTAAACAGCAACAGAAAAATGTGATGAGAAGCACAACATCAAGGAAATGGTTTACTTTAAAGAAGCATGTGCTAGGAAGATGTTTTTGTATTCAGCTGCTATATATTTCCTTTGGAATAGCACAAATCAGCTATTTTTTTGCTGACTCTATTCCACAACTAGCTAATTTTTTTCAGTAGTACGAAACTTTTTCCACTGCCAGAGGAAGTGGACACATATAGTAGAAGTTACACTTTATCCGCTAAGTGCAATTCTGACCCCAAGCAATCTAAAATAAAAATACAGTTTCTTTGTATAAATTTAAATGTTTATTCAATAGTTACTGCTCAAATTTTTTTTTATTCAAGTAGCATATATCAAGAAAAATACAACTTTATAGCAAAATCAAAGTCCTGTAACGTATAAAACTAGGTAAGACTTCACAAGTCTGTATTTTATGTATCTTAAAATATGGACAGGAAAAAAAAACCAAGGGGAATAGAAAGACTTCACTTACGTTTCTCTTGCAATGATTTTCTTGCCAATTGCAGCCTGGATGGCTATTTCAAACAACTGTCTAGGAATAGTTTCTTTTAAACGTTCACACAGGAGTTTACCAGCAGCATAGGCTTTATCACTGAAAAAAAAAGGTCAGCAACACTAAAAATTTATCGATAAATCAAATTGTTTTATTGAAGGATTTTAGTAGAGGTTTTCCTCATCTTAACTCAGAAGATAAGCTGATCAGCTCAAATTTTACATCTAAAAAGTGGTTTCTGTATGTCATGTGTTTCATGCTAACAGGTGATAAGACTGTATTAACCTCAGTATATAACATCATATAAAGTATTTACAAAAAACACCCTGATTATCCTACACAAATGAAGACATTTGGAATACTGCCACAGCTTCAAGTGAAATTTCAGACTAGGTCAAGGGGAATTTTCATTGATTGTAGGCCCAAGTGGTCAAAATATACATACTACAGAATGCTTTCAATGTCTGGTTTTACATCACAAGAAAAAAAAAATTAACATACTCTTGTCAACTTGCAGCTCAAAAGCTTATCTAACTATATAAAAATTATCTAACTATATTCATCATCTGCATATGCTTTCGGTTTTGGAAAGAGAAAACAATAAAAGGTCTGAAGAAGCTACTAAGAGATACTTTCATAAGCCATTATAAAGAAATGGGTCTAGCTCTATAAAAATACCCATTTTTAGCAGATATCTTTACCAACATACACATACATGTTTTTCAGGTAGTGGCAATGTGACTCCTTGCTACCTTTATAGAACAAACGGTTTAAACATGAAGTTCTTAAGTCATGTTCATTGAGCATTAGAGTTTTAAGAGGTAAATATATTTACATGTACAGTAAGCACAAATGATGACTATGTTATTACCAAGCTTAGAGTAATCTCTGTAATGCTTTCTCTCTATATAAATGTAATTCAGCATAATTCTTACAGATGCCGTTTTTAGAGTGGGAAACTGAGAATACTTACAGGAAGAGCAAAATTACTGCAACTATGAGTTAAAAAACTGAAAAAACAACTGAAATCTAAAACCAAAAGAAAGGTTATCAGTTTTAGTGAGTGAAACAGTTCAGGGTACAGGAGGGTACGGGCCAAATTGATCAAAAAATATATGTTACAGCAATAACTAACTTGTGCAAGGTGGCCTACCCCATTTTGCATCTTTTCAGGTGGATTACTAAACACTGCATGCTTATGAGAAATGCATTAACAAGCAATTGTATGGAAGACAGTCCCCTTCATGATCCTTCTGAACAAGGCAAGGAGTTTATTTTCCTATGTCAGCCTTCTGGAGTTACAGAATTCTAAGGATTTTAAGATTGCAGGTATGTAAAAAAATATGAAAATATACAAATATTTAGCAACTACAAGTATTTTAAGAAGGAAAACCAAACAACTCAGAAAAGTAGGCATTATTGGAAAGGGATGCTGAAGTTACAGAAGGGAGCCTTGTAAAAACTTTGTGATAAGATAGGGGACAGACTGGAAACAGAACAGGCATTTATCTCACCTCTAATGCCTGAAATATTCATAGAAATGCAATCATTTTAGCAAAAAAAATCTGAGGCAATTGCATCCAGTAAATATTTTGATTCTCCTGGTACTCTCTCTGGAAACAAGGTAGCAACAAACTTCTATGGAACAGGAATTACTGGGAGAACAAAATAATTTTTTGTCAGTATTAAGCATTCATAAATTATTTCTCTGGCATCTCCTAGATTGGTCTGCACTTTATTTTTTCTAGCCCTTCAGAGGATTGGCATTTTGCATTTCTTTCTCTCTGCCCTACATTTTCCACAAAAATAAGATATCCAGTACTTAAGTGGAGAAAGGGAAGTAAAAAAGTTACTATTAATTATTTCCTGATTTTCATACTACAAGATTATTCTGTTTTTCAGTAGTAATGAAGGTGGTCATATGAAAAAATCTTCAATGCAACTCTTCAAACAGATTTGTCATACTAAGAGCAACACATACACCTAGAGTCATTTAGAATCATATAATCATTTAAGTCAGAAATTACCTTAAGATCATCAAGTCCTATTAACAGACAACATGTTCATTGTTATTAATTTTGAATAAGGGATCCAGTAAACCTACTTGTGTATGATAGTTGCCAGTTCTTCAACTGGATTTCCATTTAGAAGAATATCCATTTTGATTAGGTCTGCTGATTGGTAACCTGCATCTTCATAATCAAAACTAAAAAAATAAAAGTAGTTCAAAAATTAGTCATGATCTTGTATAAATTATATTTTGCATTCTTTGTTCCATAGATTTTATAGACATTTCTTAATAAAACACTTGAACTTTTTAATATAATGGAAGTACAGTTTTTAGAAGTCTCTCAGTATATCTTCACACTAGAAATGTACTGCATGTAATGTCCCCTCCAATGCAGAAAGATGTCATCTTGACTTCAAGGATGTATTTCCAATCTAATGAGCAGTTAGAAATCTACATGTTTAATGCAGTCTTAAAGAACCCTTCAACACAGCTTTTGAACACTCAGTGTCACAGGAATCAAACACCAATCCAGGACTATCTTCTTTTCATCCTCTGATTTGACACACTTTTTATGTGACGCCTATATTATCACTGTCTCTGGCAACTAAGTTTTTCACTTAGTTTCCAAACCAGATTTCTTTGGTAGGTGTGGGCCTTGCTGTCCTTGTTTTAGTTTGCAGAAATTCGTAAAATGGAAGAGATGCAGAGGTGATGTATGCAATAGATAGATAGATAGATAGATAGATAGATAGACAGAGATACAGATAGATAAACTGATAGACAGATGGATCTTGCATGTAAGTGTAATTGTGGAGGATCATCAATATCACTGCAATGGGGTCAAATCTGAAATACCAGAAAAGGGGGGAAAAATCCTTCAAGATGATTTCAAAGTACTTCTATCTTACTTGGCTTAATAACCACAGGTGTATGAATGGATCCATGTACCAGAAATATGATTACCGAGAGCACTACATATACAAGCTGTATTAAGGAGTCAATTCGGAAATAAAAACTAATAAATAAATAAGATAATGCAACATCGTTGGCAATCATCCCTGAATCAAAGGAAATCCAGCATAATTTTGCTAATGAGATAGGTTATTGATAAACAGGTCAGGTTTTATGTAGTGGGGAGCTAGATCCAGAGAGGAAATTTAAAATTTCCATACCTCTGTTTCTTCTACCTTTCCTCTCCACTTTTGTTTATGCTTTTGCTGCATATATATATAAACCTGGGCAAGACATGTCTTACTTACATTTATAAGACAAAATTAAAGAAAATATAAACTCAAAGTAAATTTAGTCATTCAATAAAATTCATTTTTATGTTTATAAAATAATTCATGTAATTAGGTATACCAGTTCCTATTTTGTAACATATCCCATTACATACCAGGTTTGTGAGAGCTATTGAGCCTCCTGGGGCACAAGCTCATTGCCGTGCAACATTTTCCCTTCCATTAAACCCACAAAGGCTCTTCACAAACATCTGAGCACTGTACTAGACTCTGAATTCATAGCAGCCATCCACAACACAACATTTTGTCTCAAAATACACATTATTTTCTTTTTTCACATCATAAAGCATGTATGTAAGTACTGCTTGTTTTAAATTCATTTGTTTTTACTAGCTTTAAACAATCAATGTGGTTATTTTCCTTTTTCCAGCAAAAGCCAAGTCATACAGTAAATAGTACAGTTTCAGTGATTCCATTGAAAAAAATTATACAGTGTCACATCAGACAAGGACAGACCATTTAGGTCTTACTCATATAAATGAGCCAGTGCCACTCCAGAGGGTGCCCTTGAAAAATACACACACTGCCAAAGACAATGATTATTACGTAGTGATGCACTTTCCATGTTTTTCAGACTTACTTCCATCCATTTTCACAGTGAATCTAATCCATTCAAGGTGAAGAGTGACTTGATTTGCAGCATCACCATAAAGGAATGTTATTTACTTGTGCCCTTCCACTGCTGTTTCTCAGGCCTTGTTTTACCACACCACCCCACTTCGGGGTCCAGGGTAGGAGGAGGAGAAGGGGGAACAGGGGAGATAATTACCTTGCATAGCCAGAAGACAGAGACTTAAGAGCATCATAAAAATCCACCACAATTTCATTCAGTGGAAAGAGGTATTTTAGCATAACCCTGTTTTCATCAATGTACAACATATCTTTCTGGACTGCCCTACGATCCTAGACAAATAAAACTTGTTTCAGTTTTCCTTGAAATTAAAAAAAAATACAAAGCAAATTAAAATGAACTGCAATCAAGCAACACAAGAGGATTCCTGTACTTAAGCCCCAGAGTAACTTTCTTATTGGTAGTTTGCTGAAGTCCCAGGACAATTTGCAGCACTGTTAAAAAATGAAGTGGTTACAACTAATTTGAATTTCTGCTTCTGCTTACTGCTGCCACAGTAAGACTTGCACAGGCTCATCTTCTTTCCTCCCAGGAGGGTGTTCTTAAATTTGTTTTAGAAATTCTAATACATTTTATTCTTCACTGTATGGCTTTGTATTATGTATTTTGGAATGTTAAAAGCCAAGAAAGTATTGTGAAGAAATAATATAAACACAATATGCATGGCAGTTAAACCATTTTCAATTAGAAGTACTCCAAATACAGTTAGGCAAATTTGGCCATCGCTATCCTAAATTTACTTTCAGTGACTGAAAAAAGTACATGGGCACGTAGAAGTGTTGGCAGAAGTTGCATTCCCATGAATATACTTCTAAAAAAAACAATTCATCTTATTCCCCTGCTGCAGACTCCATTCATTCAGGAGAACAGAACTAGCTATGAAGTAGTCTAGTACAGACCAAGCACTTTGTTGTCATTGAAATTCATCAATTACTTTTCAATTTATGGATTCTGTAGTTCAGAATTTTACAAATAAAATGTTAAAAATTATTTTATCTATCAAAAATATTCAATAATTACTTCAAAGATACTATTTAAGTAGTAATATCTATTGTCATACTAAGTATGAGGTGAAGAGCTTAAAAATGCAAAAGATAAAATAAAATTATACACCAACCTGACATAAGGTAATTATTTTCCCAATATATTCATGAGGTGTTACAATAGTACCAAGAACAGTTGGCTCCAAATATTCTGATACTGAAAGTTTATCAGGAAACTGAGCAGGGCTGATAATAGTAATTTGCTCTTTTCCATACTCCTGAAAACAAACAAATAAACCAGATACTGTAATTTTAGAAATAAGTAAAATGAACAGCAGAGGAGACAAATATAGCATTGAACAAATGCTAAAAATGCTTAAAAGAATACAGCAATATATGTGTCCTATACTCCCAATTTAAAGGAAAAGTATAAGACATAAAGAGAGGGCTTGAAATGAAATGGGAAAGAGCAGTTAACATCCTTAAGAAAATTAAAAACTAAGTAATATACTCGTGTTTCTAATGCATACTATAAAATACAGTACTAGCCTACATTTAAAAAGAGACTCTAGATGTTATAAAAAGAGACTCTAGGTGTTATATATACATAATTTTTTCATGAATTTAGCATACCTTTATCAACTTTGCTGAGGAAAGAACAGCTTTATATGGAACTGTAGGTGCAGTCAAAATAACAGATATGTTATACTCTTGTTCCAAACGCTGATTAAAGACTTCCATATGTAGAAGACCAAGGAAGCCCAATCTGGAAAATAAATACCCTGTTGTCAAAAGTATTTCTGTATCCCCTAGAATTTCACAGTGGTCTTTTTCACCCTCCAGCATGTTTACAGTGCTAGTATCAGGCAGAGCAAACAACCTTCAAGGGACCAAATAATCCTACAGTTGAATTAAGTCTTGGAGAACAAAAAATATTAATCACAAAAATTTTCATTATCTGTGCAAACAGAAAATGTAAAAAAATCAAATGCTTTTGATCTTTATCATTAATTTGAATTACAGCTTCTAATTTTGAATTAAATTTAATTCTACCTTCAGTTTACTTAAACATGCATTAACATATGAATGGTTTCAAAAATGAAAGCAGCACAAAAACCTCACCTCCATCCAGCTCCTAAGGCAAGGCTACTGTCACGATGAACAGTTACACTGGAGTCATTCAATGTCAGCCTTTCCAAAGCACTTTTGAGATTATTATATTCTGTTTGATCTATTGGATACATTCCTGTCAAAATAGATTAAACAGAAATGATGTGACAGAGAGCTTTAGCTACTGTGTACTTGGCTTTCAAATATGCCACTTACAGTTAACAGAGTAATAAAATCAGGAATAGTTCCTTCCTGCTCCATCAGTTTTTAAATGTGAAAAACAGGAGGATTCTTTATTCCTCAAAAAAAAAATTAGTCAAAACATAAAAATGTTTTAGATTACCTCAGAATTAACATCTAAACCATAATGGTAGAATCACTGTACTCATCTAATCCTTCACATTTGTGGAAGATTCACAGTTGAGTAGAATCACAGTTTTGCAGTGTAAATGTATAGACTTCACTGAAGTGTTCCCTCAAAGCTAAGAGTGTGTGAAAAATAAAAAGCATCATTTCAAAGGTGCAAATATTTCTCTCTTCTTTCTAAATTAATAAAAACAGCTGTTTGTATAACTACTGCCTGAAATAGATTCTACTGTATCACTTTTCACATCCTTGTGGGTCATCTACATCAAGAAGCAGCACACATGCACACAAAAACATTTACACAATTCGACTTTTCAACAGTCACTGGGAGACTGCCTAGTCTCCATGAGAGAGTTCAAGTAAGTTTTGCACACTGCTTCTCAACAGGTCTAGAAAATTATTTATATTATTAAATTATTTACAGAATTTTTTATAAAGCCACCTTCTGTAGCATTTGTAGTAGTTACTGAAGCTAGTGGCAACAGCTCAACAGAACTATTCAAGCTCAAAAAGTCAAATATTTTGCAGGATCATTCTGCATATTAGCTCTAGCATTACCATGTTTAACAAAAACAAAACAGCTGCTAAATTTTAAAAGAAGAAAAACCAACACAATAATTACAGAAACCAGATTATCAAGACAAATAATTCCCTCTCTTTCTTTTTAATTTCAACCCTTCTTTTCTAGCTATTAAGAGTTTACTGACATTAGAAACAATAATCATGTTTGTGTTGTATTCATGTAAAATCAGTCAGCATTTATTACTAATCTTGTTACGTCACAGGGAAAACACACAAATCTACATAAATGTAGATTACCTTGGCTAAAATTCTAATCCTCCCAACTCTAAATATACATGTCTTCTTTTAAAAGCTCTAACAGCTCTTACTCTTGTCAATGGAAAAAAGTAACTCCACTTTATATTGATTTACTCCTCACCTGCAAAAACCATTGGCTTCGCTGACTTAAAGCCAGGCAAAGGCTCCACTGGCTGTTTATACAGAAACAATGTGTCTCCTATTTGGGCTTCCGTTACTTCTTTCATTCCAGCAATCAGGTACCCCACCTGTCCTGCATAGCTAAATAAAATTGTTATTATATGGACATGATTGTTGGCATTAGCAGTATTTCTATTATTTTCCTACTTGATTTAGCCCAGCCAGAAATTCAAATAAATCACCCCTTAAAAGTCCATATCCAATGTCCAGAAGTGAGATTTAAGTTGTTTCACCTCTGAGTTGTCAACAGTCTCCAACTGGTTCTTTTTCTGAATAGCACATCTATGATCCTGGATTTTTAATATTGTGTTGCTCCCAGTTTAAAAGCTGGAGCTAGACCCTTGAGAAGCTCCTAAGACAAGAAAACTAGAACAGTTCCTGGCTGCCAGCACAGCAAGTTTCATAACACAGTAGGGTGAAACTAGACAAACACTTTTCATTAGCACATTATGCTAACAGGAGGGGAATACATGGTAAATATTGAGTAAAACACAGTGTACTGGTTTTGGCTGGGATGGAGTAACTTTCTTCAAAGCAGCCTTGTATGAAGTACCTTAGGAATTGTGACTAAAACATGTGCGGATAACACATCAATGTTTAGGTGTTGCTGAACAGACCCTCTGGGTTTCTCACTGTGCCTCTGCAAGCAAACAGACTGGGGGTGTGCAAGAGACTCAAACTGGCAAAAAGGGCATTCCATTCCACAGATCATCATGCTTAGCAATAAAAAAGAAGTGTAGTCTTCCCAAGACTTCTATTTGTAGATTAGCAGGACATCAGTCTGCTTGTGGAAAGTGGTGAATAATGAACTGTTTTTGCATCACTTTTTTTTTTTTTTTTTTTTTTTTTTTTTTTTTTTTTTTTTTTTTTTTTCTCCTTCATTTATTATACTGTCTCTATCTCAATCTACAAGTGCTTCCTCAGTTCTCATCCTGCTAGGGTTGGAGAGTGAGCAGGGGGCTGGCTGGGTTCAACCCACCAGACACAGTAATGTAACCTGAGAATGCCCCAAATGAAGTTATCATCATGTATTTGGTTGCATACTGGTAAAACTTCTCCTCTAATTCTAAGTACCTGATTTTCTTCCCACTGCTGCCATTGAGAAGCCAGTTTCTGGAAGCTGTTGCATTCATGGATTTTAAGTTTTCCACCCTCAAAATATGCTGCAGCAATACCTAAGATGAAGCCCCATTCCCTTCCACTCTCAAACAAGGCAGTTCCTAGAAATAAATTGGACAGCTGAGTAAGAATATAGAACACTAGCCTTTAAGCACCTAGCTGTCCGTATGTTCCATGTAGTACAGAAAATAATGGACTCCTTCCACATCAATGCCCAAAAAGTACTCCCTAAAACCTTCTGCCTCAGCATGCCCAAAATAAAAGATGACACAGAATATTAAATTGCAAACAGTAATTATTAAAAAAACCCACCACCAAAGAACAAGAACAAAAACCTAGTCATCTCCCAGTTTTTACCTCTCAAAGCAAAAAACATTACGGAAATGCAGGACTCTGTAGCTTACCCCAATAGATAATTTGTTCCACTGCAAAACGTTTTTACTTACAGTTTATGTGTTGGCTGTTCATTTGGAGTCAGAATTCCAACTTCATTAACTTCATATCTTTTCTTAGTGTGTGCAGACACAATTTTCTGTCCTTTTGCAATCTCCCCACCAAAGAGCGCAATGTTAGCTATGACACCTCGGTAGTGGTCAAAGGTAGAGTCAAATACTAAGGCTTTCAATGGCTCAGCAGTATTACACTGGGGTCTGTCACCAAAAAAATAAAACAATATATTATGCAGTGTGTTTTCATTCAATATTGAATGAGCAAGCATGCCCACCCTGAACATTTTCATAGAATCATACCAGGCTGGAAGGGATTTCCAGTATCACCTAATCCAACTTTTCTTGGCAAAAAACACAGGCTTAATAAGATGGCCCAGAACCCTCCCCAGACGAACTAGAGAGTGTCCAATGGTGGGGAATCCACCACTTTCCTGGAAAGATTATTCCAACAGCTCTTTGTAGCTACTGTTTAAATACCAGAACATGACAAGCCTTCTTTTCTCAAGGCTAAACAAGTCCATTTTTCTCAGCCTCTCCTTAAAGGGCAGGCTGCCCAGTCTTTTGATCATCTCTGTGGCACTTCTGTGGCCCCTCTTCAGCCTGTCTACATTTTCTGCACAAAAAGAGACCAAAGCCAAACACAGTATTCCAGGTATGTACTGAGCACCACTGAGCAGACTGGGATAATGATAACAGCTCTGCTGTTGATATCCTTGTTGAGGCAATCCAGCATGCTGCTATCTTTCTTGCTGCAGCAGCACACTGCTCATTCACATGGACTTCATTGTCCACAAAGGCATCTGGGTCCATTTCCACAGAGCTGCTCCCCAGCTAGGTAGATTCTAGCCTGTGCTGTGCTCCTGAATTATGTATTCCCAGATGCAAAACCTTTGCCTCTGTTGAATTTCATAAGATTCTTGTTAGCCCACTCTTACAGCAAAGTTGCTCCCCCTTTCTGAAGTGTCTATTTCCCCTCTCAGTTTAGTATCACTGGCAAACTTCACTAGGGTACACATCCCAACTTCCAGACCACTTCTCATGATAATAAACAGCATTGAACCCAATGTGGAACCCTGGCAGACCCTACCTGTGGCCAGGCTGAAAAGGAGCTATTTACACTCCCTCTGGGTGGAGCCTGTCAGACAGTTCCCATGACACGGACCACTCCAGACTGTAACACAATGGTTTCCCCAGGAGTCTTTGATAAACCTTATCAAAAACCTTAAAGATCCAGGTAAAGAGAAACCCAGGTTGCCAGTGTCACTCACACTGCACAGCAGGTTACTCTGCTGTAAAAGGTGATCACGCTTGTCAAGCACAATACACCCTTGGCAAATCCCTGCTCACTTTTCCCAATCACTTACTTCATCTGACTTGTCATAGCCCCC